GGAGGAAGTGAGCCAGGCGAGGAAGGTCGCTGGAGCGGTAGAGCTTACCAATGTAGCCCAGCTTGGAGAACTCAAGGGTGGCCCAGTTGGAGCCTTCCTGGGAAGCCAGTGCCTTGCGGATAGCCGTCAGGAAGGACTTGGCACACCACACATCGTCCTCAATCATCAAGTAGTAGGAGGAGAGGTTGGCAGCAAAGGCGAGGAGGAAGGCATAGTCCACATTCTGCTTGGACCTGAACCTCACACGCTCCTCTGGGTCATTATAGTTTCTCTTGAGGCCCTCCAGGGTGGGGTAAAACTCATGGGGAGCATGGATAAGCAGGAGCCGGCCCAGGAGGATGTGGTGAGCAAACTTGTGGGCGATGTTGGCGGCCACGCGCATGTTCCATCTGGGGTCCGCGTCGGCCAGGTGCACCACCACCACCATCTCCTGCAGCTCCTCCTCCGTTGACTGCTTGAAGAGGGACTGGAGCGTGGCTGGGAGGTAGTAGCCACGCGGCCGCTGCACCGACGCCAGTCCCACCGCCAAGAATTCTGCAAGGCAAAGGAAAGGCATTAGCAGACTGAAGGATGACCTGGGATGCACCACGGTGACGTTTTTCCCTGCAAGCCGCAAGGAGGGGGCTCCAGAAAGCTCTCTGCATGGCCAACCCGTGCGGTTAATGCTATTTATGGCCCCATGTCCAAGGCCAGCAGGTCCTTTCTGAAGCTGAAGCACTCAGCGTCTCAGGAGGTGCCCAAAATTGGCCCAAATGGCAGGGAGAGGACAGGATGAAAAGTCAGGGGCTCCTCTGAAGAATAAATATTTGGAAAAAAAACCTTAAAAAAAGTCAAACCTGGGGAAGGAACAGTACGGAGACAGTCTACGGGGCAGGGATGGCTTTGTGGCATGGCTACACATCCTGGAAGCATGCGCCTACCCTACTCCGAACCTTGCAGAGATGCAGCCCCACTGGGATGAGGCATCCTTCTGCCCTCCCCACAGCCCAGCTGTGGCTGCATTTGTTCAGCTTCGCTGCAGCTTCTCTTGCTGCTGGTCTGTGCAGCACCGTGCACATACTGGACCTCTGGTTTCAGCATGGGCTCGCGTGGGGCTGCCCTAAGCGCCTTCCCATGGTGTTTGCATGTGAATTGCTTTTCGGGCACCTGTCCAAGAGCTTGACCCTCATCTCCCACGCTGTTGTCCCAGTGGTCCAGCCCCACCATCTCCACCTTCCTGACTGGAGAGCAGGAAACTCAACCCCAGGGAGATCAGGTCTCAGCTACCCTCCCCACAGATATCTGGGAAACCCAGAATGTCTGTGGTCACCCCAGTCCCAAGGTGCAGAAGCATGGACCATGCTTGGAGCACACGGACCTTTGTCTACCCTCCATCTCCCCAGACAGAGCAGCGAAGGCTGGCTAGGGGATGGTCACCAGGTATCGGCAGGTCCCCTATCCCAAAAAAGTTGGAAGCAGACCCCTCCCCACCCCAGCAGCAGCAGCGATGGGGAAGGTCTATGCTGGGACGTGCAGCTGCGATAGGAGAGATGTGCAAACCCAGAACTCTGTTCAGTCCGGGGTCCCGAAGCCACTCACTTTTGTGGGGTGACAGGGAGCCAGCAAGGAGGTGGTAGGAGACGTTGTGGAGTGCAGAGAGGCCATCCGTGTCCCTGAGGATGTGCTGGGCTCCTTCTGGCTGCAGCATCTGCAGGACCGGGTCTGGGGCCAAGCCCCTAAGCTCCGCCTGGATGGGAGCCGCAGGCAGCCAGGTCAGACCCCAGAGCACCATGGACACGCGTGAGCACGGGGGAATGACAACAAGGGGACCCAGAAATAAGGGGGACCCCCTGTCCTGCCCTCCCAGCTCCTGGAGGTGCGCAGGGCAACCCCAGGGAGAGGAGAAGGCAGAGCTTGGGTTTGGGGATGATAAGGGGCAGGGAAGGGAGCAGAGCTGGGGTTTGGGGATGATAAGGGGCAGGGAAGGGAGCAGAGCTGGGGTTTGGGTCTGTGTAGGGCAGGCAGGGATGGAGGATGCTCCAGTGGCCCCCTCCAGCGGGACATCACTGGTGGGAAAAAAAGCGGTCCATCACTGATGGGGAACTCCCCTCCAGGGGAGCCTGTTGCTGCCGGCTGTCCCCATGGAGGAGGAGGAGGATGAGGACGAGGAGGAAGGAGGCTGCAAGCGCAACCGTGAGGGAGCGCTTCAGGGAGCATCGCATAGCACCGGGCTGGCACGCTGAGGCCTGCGGGAGGAAGGGGCACGTCAGGTCAAGGCGCAGCCCGGGGAAAACCACCATCCCCTGGACGGGATGGTGGGGCAGCACCTGGATGCAC